TTCGTCCTACTTCCTAAAATAGTGTAAGTGTATTTGTGTAAGCAGTAGTTGGTTGTTGTTTAATTCATTATTTTTTCTCTATTAATGATTCTTCTCAAAATGATTCGACTTTTGGATTAGGTTAAGGCTATGAATAGTACAAGGGAATTGCACCATCCAACATATTCGAATCAGGGATAAAACTTTCTCATTGCATAGATAAGTCATAAAATTTGATATTTCTAGTGAAAATAGCTCTTGATTGATTACTGAGCAAAGACAAACAGCCACTACGTAATTTATACCATAAGTGATTATTTTTATACTGTAACCCGGATTCCTACTCTGGATTTCACTGCATGTGGACTGCTTGTATTTGTGCCCGTAAAACTAATGTCTCGTGTATAATTAAGCTCTCAACCGATGGTCATAATTGTGTATACCATGTGACCTAGTGAGACTGATTTAAATGATATATTATCGTATTTCGTGTCAGAAGACAAAACTGAACTTTTTCAACATCACATCGAGAGGTTTTAAGAAAAATTCTCAAACTTAGGAGAATATCAGTAGTTCTGGGGAAAAAACACCTTACGCAACTCCACTTATAAACTTTAGGACTTTATTCAAGACATCAACAATCCACATTGTAGTCGTTATAACAAATCTAATTAGTTGTGAAAATAATTTTTATTATGTAATATTTGACATGATGTTGATAATCAAAAGTTGAAAAATTATGGTCAAGAGATGAAGTTTATCATACATTTATTTATTTAAACACATAAACACTGTTCCATAAGGCACCCAATATATAAGCGCTACACTTCGCCATCCGATTTGTGTGAGAGAAGGAATACTGGCCGAGTGATCGAACCGAAGTAGGTGGTTTTCTTGGGAGCCATATCACCAGTCTTCCACCTTGAGGTCTAATGCACAAAGCAGTGGAGCAACGTTAGGAGATGTAATTCCACGGTAGTTGGTGATCAACAATAGGTTCATACGTCATTTGTTCCTTCAGAAGCCTGGAACACATGTGCGTCATTGGTTTGGAATCAGGATTTTCCAATTCCTCTAAATGGATCCTCCACATCCACCAACCCGGTTAAAGCGTTAGACATTCGCTTTCCGTCTTCCCGATTTCGTAAACAACAGTAATGCTACGAGAAGGCAGTGCACAGGACTTCTCTGGCAGTGGCTGTATAGACATGGCCGTGTGAGAGCATTTAGAAAGGGGGAACTGACTCTCCCCCCCCTTGGCCGTATCAGGGCATTTGAATATTGTTGATAGAAAATATCATTGGTAAAATATTGTCAATAAGTAATATTTTAACACATCAACTCATATTATGACATTGTTTAGAGAAGAATATAAATAGGGGCAGTAAATTTACCTCAAACTCAACAACTGATTATACATACTACAGATCGATTAACGTTTAATACAACAACAATAATGATAATAACAGATCAACATTATTGAGATGGTGAACAAGCAACTGTAGTCAAAGTAATGTATATCATATTCAACACACAAGGATTAATATTTATTTATATTAAGAGTGCTATATCTACAATACATGTTAAATGCAATTTACAATCTAATTGAAAATTAGTTGTTAAACCGATTTAAAATAGAGAAGACTTAGTCCCATTATGGTTTAGGTCATAAACACGTGATGCATCAATCTTTTTCTTATCCACATATAATCCACTTAAAGCAATGAGAATTATCTTAGATTTTACAGATATTGAATTAATAATAATATTATTGATAAATAATAGGGCTTTCTGAAAGGACCGGGTATGCTGGTGATCATAAGGCTAACTAATACTTCTAACACTACCACAAGGAACCAACACGTACTTTTTCAAAGCTATCTAAGCAACTTTCGAGATATTGATAAAATGAAAGTTGAAATTGTCAGAGAAACATATCTTGTATCAAGGTAGGAAGTGACCTTAATTCAACTCACCAAGTACAGATTTATAGATTTATCTTTAAGCCATACTATATGTAAGAGGACTAATGATACCACCTGGTTAGTCAAACTGAAGTGAGTAAGACGAAACTCGAACCTGTCACCTAGTGGTTGAAAATTGAATGTCTTCACCATTAACCCACTATTCCATTTTACAGTTGTCGTTACGGTATAAGTTATAGTTCTTTTTTAAAAGTACTTCTATAGTAGTAATATTTTTTTTAAATCTGTTTTAAAAATAAAAAATCAATAGGCACAATGCGCCCTATACCCAATCATAACAGACAAATACAAGAAGGGATACAAAAGTGAGTCGGCTTAAAATACTACAATTTACGATTGTTATTATAGACGAAATTCACTGTTATTCGCTCGGTACGAAACAGTGAGGCCAGTTTAAAAGATAAATATGCCATTACCAGATTATTTCGGTTTGATTATGAAACAAGTATTTTTGACAGCGGCACCCAGAAGGAAGTACGTCAAAGGAGACTGATAGCAGACCACAAATTAGATTACTGCATATTTCATGGAGGACGGATAATTGGAAAATATTAATATCTCCTGGTGTAAAAGTATAAGTATACTAACGTTTTTTTATTGTGACTATTACTCCCATTCAACTCCGTTTAGTTGGAATATAATTTCGCTCCTGTTCAATCATGTTCTGATTGGCAAAGAATACTAAACAACAAGAGTAGTAGCATTGTATGAAGAGAGATCTTAACAGACATACTGACAACGTTGTTAAGTGTGAATCATTTGAACGTATACAAGTGTGAAAATTGTGATGAATATAGAGTCCATATAGGATAGCTGTAGATCTACAATTTCAAACCACTGGTATAGGTACCCTCCAAGATGCTTTACGAGCAAAGAGTGTATGAACCTATGTTGACAACCTGGTACTAGCCAAATTAATCCCTTGACATTGTTCCATTACCTTGTGGGTTGAAGCTTTAGGTCAATAGATTATAGGTTCCAAAAAAATATTCTGCTGCAATTAAACGCTTAGGTAATGTAAAGTCAAGTGTTGTAGCAGACGAGATGGACCCATGTATGATAAAAGTCATAATTCTTTATGCCAACCTGAATCACAATTCTCCAATGTGATTAATTTTATCAAACCTACTCTTTGTGAGAAAATAATGCTCTTTATAATGATAATGTCTTTATGACCCGAAAATCGACCACAGTCGTCACTGAAGCTTTGATGAGACACAGAATTTTGAAGTGAGGAATTGTTGTGGAAGTTTTGTATTTCCTAGCACAATGTAACTTCCCTGATGAGTTACTAAGTTTAACATAACTCGGTGGCTTGGAATGTCATCAAACATGAATCAGCATAGAAGCTAGTAACCATCCTATTGTAGTTTTCCAACGTGTTGGTTACAAACCAAAGGATTCGCCTTTCATCTTGTTTTATTATTGTATCTATTACATGTTTTAACTTTTTACTTCTGTGTGATATGATCATTAAGTTCTTTGACGTATTTTTTAGGTTCCCTACAGTTTACTAGTAGTCTTTTTGTGTTGTAAAATAAACGTTACATCCATTCTTAAATTTATTTATCTATAATCGATAAGTGAATGGCAAATTAGACTTTAGAAATTAATAACAGATAAGATAAAAATATAGAAAAAACGCTAAAATCTAATCTATATAAATCAATGGTGAAAGATCTTGCTCAGTAAATGTAGAAAAAGAAAATTATCGACTAATACGGAGCTAGTTTAAGACTTAAGGTGTTAATTCAAACGATATAAACTAGACTGTAAAATGTTTTGAGACTGGTCTCACTACATTCAACAGGTGTCATAGTATTAGGTTAAGGATGTATTATATTTAAGAGAACAATAAATACCATTGAAAAAGTCTATAAAAACACGGGCATGATTAAGAAATGTATTCCTCTCGGAAAAAAATAAACAGAAATAAGTGAACGGTTTTACTTAATTTACTCTACACCCTGAAAACACCCTTGATATGAATATGTGATCCTACTTATACATTCAACCCCTCAAAAGTATGTAGTTGGTGAAAATGCAAGTGCTTGCTTCGTCCCAGTTAAGAACACTATGTGACCGTACACAGACGTTATTTCATGAGTCCTTTAGTAAATAGTATAGTTCTCAGTAGGATAAAGACTAGACAATACGAAAATCATTACGACTTAATGGTTGGTCAATGTAAGCATTCCAATCCCGAAGGTCGATCATCGTCTGGATGACTCAATGATGTTGCTGGTTGTAGGAACGTGTGACGCGTGTTTAAGTTACCAAGGATACCAGTTTCCATGAGATCTTAAGTGCTTTTTTTCATGAGTATGAGCTGCAATTGGTGCAGACCGAAAATCTGACAAACTGACTTATCCTCCTTGTTTAAATCTCATTATGAATTTCCTCAACCCTAGACTACTTCAAGTTAAAATAGTCAATGTAAGACGCATCAAATGACTAAAAAGGCTGACGGAACTCTATGCGTTAAAACAGATCCTGCTGAAAGTATGAATTGAGGCCTATTTATATCACTAGTAAGTTCTGAAGTTAACAAGGATCTGAATACTAGCCAAGGACACACTGAAACGCATTTTTAGTACTATAAGCAGAAATATTAGAAACAATAATTATTTCTAGGTAATCTGGAGCATAAAAAGTGACAAATTCAAAATATTCTGCAGACGCAAGTCATATATAGTGACATCGTGAAAATGAAGGCCGTAACATATCTACCCCTTAAGACTGGAAAAACTTAATTCTACAGGTAGGACGCTATTAGAATCAAAAAAACACTTTGATTTGAGGCGTTTCAATTTCAATTTCCATCAGGTATCAAATATTTTAGAATCCAGTTATATCAATTAGCTACTCCCTACCATTGAATTAATTACTGTAGCTTCATTGGAAAGCGGTCATATATAGATACATAAAAAATGTACTAACACACTAATATAAGTTCTTACTACTATAGAGTGAGTAGCAATTAGTATGTTACTAAAAAGAATATTGGTATGCAAAAATAAAGGCATGAATACCTACCATTATTGTGCAAAACTGGTCTTTGAGAAGAAGAATGCAATTTCATACCTCTAGCACTTTCCAAAAGATTTAAGCGACGTAGACAATCAGCCAAAGAGCTTCTTAGACAAGCTAGTTCATTGGCTTGTTCAGCACTTCGTTTTTCTAAATCTATAACACGGTCCTGGAGACCAGCATTTTCCAAGTTCATTAATTCAACTAAATGTTTTTTAAATTAAAAATAGAGCTATGAATAAAAATGATCAAATCATCTCAAAGTGCTTGTTAATTCAGCAAGTCACATAGCATTAGCATAACAAAAAGAATAACAACCAGTATATCACAGAAGTTACAGTAGTTCATATCCTGATGTATAAGGTTCCTGGAAAACTTTATGAGTGAATAACATGGATCTCATATTCAACCACTAGTTCGTGCAAAACTAGGATCTTTGCAGTTGAGCTAGTACCTGTAGGAGTACAGGAAACAAAAGATTGATGCATGGACATCTGATTGTGGAGAAGTGAATCAGTGGTTAAGGCGTCCGACTTTCAGTCACTAGGTCACAGGCTTAAAACTTGTTTCCTTCGATTTTAGAAAACACGTAGCATCCCTAACCCTCACACTACGTTGCTCAAAGCTACTTTTACGAATCTGTATTCCGTTAATCTTGTTTGGCACATACATATCTGGTGTCCATATGTACCATATTTTGCGTTTTAAATAAAAATTCACCACTATGATTTAGAGAGATGATGTACATATCGATACTTAGGTCTTGTTTAAGTTAAAAACGAAACATTTACTTATGCCGGTATTTTTGCGACCGGCAGGGAATTATTTAACTAGGTTATGCAGCTTGGATGTCCCTATTGTTATTCCGGTTAAGGAAATATTTTGTATGTCCCGTCGACTAATTGCTAATTCATGTGCTCTAACAAAAACATAATTAGCTACAAGGAATGAAGCCGTGTGGACAAGAAGCTGAAAAGTTCAGTACCTTCATGGAGGATATAAGCACTGTATCGTTCGAACAGATCTAACCTCAGTGCTGTTAAACCAAAGGAAATGATTATTTCATACAAGTTTGTTGCCAACAGAGTATATGTATCATTTACGTTAGTTTCTGTATTGCTTTCGGATGAGTTTGGTGTATGAAACACTCAACTGAATTAGTGCACCTAAGGCCGAAAACAATACGTCTTGTGAAAAATGCGACAGAAAGTAGTTTTCTAGAAAAGTGAACTTCGTGGAGTAAATTTGAGTACATTTTTAAAGGACCTATAACTCGTACGAAATATTGGAGTAATGTAAAGTTTTCCACAGGCTCAGAGAAGCCGGTATCTGAATTTCCAACCTACTATAACTTTTTTGGGATTTTATCACATATTTCTCAAAAATTATACAGTGAACCCCCTAAACCTGGTTTTTTCACAGTGCAACTAGTAGAAATACGATTAGAGCATTGTTTTCGGATAAAAAGTTACATAAACACCAATTCACGTTAAACCTAACCCATGTTACCTGGGAGGAAACACGTTTTTACACGCTGACGGTAAAATAAATGAAAATAATCATACTAACCATGCATCCCTCAGACGTTCTAATGTAGTTAAATTAGTTGCAAGGTCGTAGGTTATTGTCCTTGGTACTTTAAAACGACCGTAATGAGTGTTATTCCTTATATAATAAAGACAGGTTTTATGATTAGGTACAAAAAGCAGTAATAGGTTCCTCGAATGTATATGGTATTATCTGTATATTGCAAATTTATGTACAAAGTCTGTGTGTCGAGTAATTTTTGTGTGATCACTTCTGTTCGTTTTAGTATTGTTTCACGTCATTGATGACGCCCGACGAGTCGATTGTATTCAGCTAACTCCAATTGTTTTGGTCATTTCGGTAGTTATTTTGGGTCTGTGTGGGTAGGTTTGCGTCAGGATAATAAGGTTTCTGGAACCAGCAATTATTACATCACCACGGAGAAAATTAGTTGACCATAGTTTAAAGGGTAAGGAAATAAAATATTTTAATTCGATCACTGGAAATTAGTAACGCAAACAGTATGAACACCCAGAAGTGTAGGAATAATGCGTAAATGAAGATAACAGACAAGTTGCGAGTTATGCATCGGATAAGGATAGATCTAGTGGGAAATGGTAATGCATGGGTTAGCATATCGTTACATCAGGTCTTTTCTAAGACTATACGCTGGGGGATTACAGTCACTTACTTAAGATGACATCACAGATGGGTACAACTAATGAGAAATATTTGATTATGACTGGGTTTTCTCCCAATGGCTTCCTCTGGGAGAACCGTATCAAGTATGTCAGAGTAAGTGTTTGTCATATCATCTGCCATCATTGTGTCGCTTTTTACTTTCCTATAGCCTAGCCTAAAGTTTCAAATATTGAGGTATCTCTCCTCGATACTAAACAAATCTGAGATTCGCTCCTTAGCCTTATTACTCACATTTTCGTTCGGCCCTATTTGTTTTGAGAAAGTCATGCGTCTCATGAAGGATGCCTTAAAGTGTCACGGAATTGAAATTGAGGCTGAAAGTATATATTGCACAGCTCAAGAAGCAATTCTGGTGCGGTCACGAACATCACCAACGTGGATGTTGAAGTCTGCTCATGTCGGGTAGGCATGGCGTGACTTTCTAGCTCACTTAGGAGTTATATGTCACACTTGACACCTAACCTGCCTTATGCTATCGTAATGGTGAGATGAAATGTCTTCCTTGTGGGCTGTACAGAACAAATAGAATCCTTCTGAAACAACATCTATTTATAAGAAGAGGTGAGAAAAGTACACTACGGAACCTTTCCCACTTTGTTCTGGTCCATGGTTTTCAACTCACTAATCTGCATTAGTTATCCTTGATATTGGTGATGCTCGGTAAACTGTTAAACTTTTGATGATCAGCTATTTAACATCAAAACTATTTAGCTTGACGCGCTAATTCTACATGTGGACTGTATGCAAATTCTGGACAAGCAGTGGAAACGAAATAAATTCCTACACGAGATAAAGATTTATCCTTCGGCAACAGCACGAAACTGTCAACAAAAGTTCACTCTTCAGTTTGAGAATAGTTTGAGTGTTACCAGAAAACTGATGTATATAGAGCTTAGTTAAATAACAAGTAAATAATACTATGCATACATCAGTACCCACCACTAAACATAAGGGATCCAAAGGTATGATCATGGTTGTTTAAAAGAAGCTGGAGTCTTGGCATTACCGTTAGTTGCGTGGCCATATCAAACATCAGGCTGGCGTCTGTTAACAACTTCAACAACAGAAAATATTCCCGTCAGCCTACAATAGCGACTAAAAGACGACAAAAAACTTCATCTTTGAACATTCATTCAGTTCTAATGACTCCATGATCCACATATTGATATTAGGGTTCTTCGTAAAATTTGTCCAAATGTATCAGGCATCATTCGCATTCAACTTTTTAAAGCGGCAGAGTTTCTTTTCATTCACGGAATGGAGCCTGAACTTCATGCTTAAAAGTAATCTGTCTTATCGTCGCCTTTTTCGTGATCTTAAACATCAATATTATTAATGCTTATTTCATTGTCATAGAATATGAAAATATTCCTCCTTCTTAATCGTCTCCTACATACCATTGGTTTTATTCATGATTGTCCCGGATATCAGTACATTTTATTGAACCATTCTGATATCAATAGTAATTACAACAAAATGTGTTAATTAGTTTACTCTACCCATATTTCTATCCACAGTTAACTTATTAACTTTTACACTACTTTTATTCATGCATACATAATCTTTTATTGTTACTGTTTACCCCCTGTAATGTAGTATTGTGATCTTTCCATTCATTCAGCATGTCTATTTATTGTTCATATGCTCTCGTAGAATTAAAGCTTGACATGCTTGTAAAATGATACTTGTAGAAATACTGGTTTCCAATAGAATGTGAAACACATAGCATCGTATGAGACATATTTTTTCTTGAAATGAACCTTAATGAGCCCAAATCACAAAAGGAGGGGGTGGAGTTACGGACCAGCAATCACTGATGGTAAGGGCGATAACTTCAATCTGCCCCTGTTTGTGGTGCAGGATATTTTGTTCTTTTCAGGCTCTTAATGATTAAGGACAAGGAAACAAATCAGTGATACTGAGGTTATTATCTTTTGCTCGTTAATCAGACTCATGTTGAGTTCGCTATTCTACCAAGATAACATATCACATGCTAACACAAACTTTCAAGTTATGACCTCGTGGCTGGCACCACGTAAAAAAACTAAGAAGGACAATCACTTACATAAACAGAGATGGGTGATGGTTAGACGTGAAATTCGGAACGCGTATTTCGTTCCTTTTAGGATTCTTCGGTAGGATGTAGCTGCATTGGAGAGCAGCTGTTCACTCTAGGGCTCGAAACCAGTATCGATCTCTTCAAACGTCATCACATCGTTTACTTAGCCTCTGAATCCAGATAGTCACTATCTTGTGCAATGGGGTGAAGTTTTAGTTCATTTTTGTACTAGTTGTTTTGAGTTTTCCCATTGATGGATAGAACTGTAGTTGATCAGTCTCTCATCTGCATGTGTGCATCCCGAATGTGATGTTCACTTCGGGATGCAGGAACATTCTGCTGACGAGTCACAAATAGAACGAAACACGCGTCGTGAATTTTACTTCTAACCATCACACATCTCTGTTTATAACCTTTGTGACTTGAGGCAATTTCGAGGCAACCCACACAGGATGTACATGCGCCAAAAAGATTGATCAACTGCAGTCCTGAACATTATTAGGAAGACTGAAACAACCAATACAAAGATGAAATGAAAATCAAAGTCATCGATATTAGCGTTTCTTAACATTACTCTCTTTTGATGTACTTTCTATTCCACTAAGCAGCCTTCCTTATTTCAACTTTGACTTCCCTTCCATCATTTGGACCCATTCCACCTTGTTACATAACACAACTCATTGTTCTGTGTCAGCATAATCTTTTATTGGAGGGCTGTAACCACACTTCACTTTAGCGACATAAGGTAGTACGAGTTTTACCTACCGATTCGTCATCCCTTATCCTGTTTCACCACAAACTGTTAATCGTAGTTTAGAGTTTATGCTCTAGCGCTTTGCTTCTCCTTTGTTTCTTTTTCACCAACATGCTTTCTTTGAAGAGCTATAGGGCTTCTAACGCCTGAAACAATCTTAATGTTTACAAACAAATGTCACAAGTTATAAATCATACCTGTAAAAATGGTGTATATCTGCTCTCGCAGAAATATATTAATAATAACCAGAGCTTCATATGTACAGATAAATATATTTGTAATTGAACAAAATGATGTACAATTCATCAAAACGAGATCTCTTTGCCGTATTTTATGTTTTTGATCTGTAATTCGTTCTGTCATCTGAAAACTAGATGTCTAAATTAAAATTGATTTTGCTAATCCAAAGCTACAAACAAATACTAATCTTCATAAATGAACGACTAAATTTGGTAACTGGCTTATGTTGCGGATTATTTATATTCCGAATTGTCCATATTTTCTAGATTTTTTTAGTATGAAAAACCCTTTATTACTCCACTGAATAACCTGAAAGAAGATGGGAGCAAAATCAATAAGTAGTGGCGGACCAGACTAGGCACCCAATAAATTACGAAAGTTTGCTCATGTATGCAAAGTAACTACATAGCCGTATTTGGCTTTACAATCATGAAATAAATGATATCTTCATACTGCTTGAGTCGATACTAGGTCTTTTAGAACGTTATACTACAACCTTGTTCTAATTCCATTCTGAATCTCGAAAAAGTGAGCACGTGAAGTAACCTAGTAGCCAACAGGAGTTAAGCATTAACCTCTGTCGCATCTCGCCGTTACTGCTTTATTGACAGAAGGACGTTTATTGTGTCATTCGCCAATAGAATGTTATTAGTCCTCTATAGTCAGGCTGGAAGAAGTGATCAATAACCAAAATAAATGAAAACTACTACCTATTATGCCAACAAGATCACGGACTTAAAAGATAGATAGTGTTTTTTTATGAGAGAATACTGATTATTTCATTACATAACAGCAGAACATTGGACTCTCTCAACTTACTGTTTGGGCTAAGCAAACGGTGAAGTTTAGCCGAAATACTACGAAGTACCATCACCTTTGCGAAATTATGTTATGTAAGGTTGATAGAGAAAATAGATTGCAGTATCTGAGGCACATTTAACTGACTGGGTGCCTGCCACATGAAACCATGAATCGGATGACGCAGGCAAGAATACAAAGATAATAGAATAGTATATTTCTAAACCCAAGACGAATCAATATGTTATCTGAATAAAATACTTTTCAAACTATATATTTACGGTCAGATTAACAGTAACACTTGTATAGACCTAGTGAAATGGTATTCAAGATCGCTAAACTGACGATTTCCCAAATAAACACAGATATACAATGTCATAAAATTATTATCTGCGACTGGCTAATACGACTAATGCGATGACTCCGCAGTGTGGTTATACATCATAAAGATTAGAGTGATAATTCAGGAATATATATTGCTGGTTCAATTACAATAGAAACAGGCATAAACGTGGAGATTATTTATCTGGAGAGATCTGTCAGAAGTTACTGACTTATTGAGAACAAAATCTAGATTGAATATGA